TGGACTAGATGACCTTTAGAGGTCCCTTCCAACCCAAACTATTCTATGATTCTAAAACAAAGGTACAAATTAACTATGTTTTACAGGCTCCTTTAGTTCTTTAATGATCATCTTCTAGATAAAATGGGGAAAAAAAAGGACTGGTGGAGATAAAAACATAAAACACATTCACCATGTTAAAACACTCTCATGAGTATCAGCAATAGCTGGTACAAGAGATGCCTTTGTTATTCCTTCCAGCCTCTTTCCCATTCAGACCCAGTACCTGCTGTATAGCTCGGGGTATGATTCCTCGATGCTTGTACTCGGCAGTCGCTCCCGTCATCGTGTAAGTTTTACCAGCCCCCGTTTGCCCGTAGCACATTATCGTGCCTAGAAAAGATTCAAAGCAAAAGAATAAACTCAGGAGGGAACCTCTGCATTTCTCAAACGGAACATCAGAAGGATCTCTCCCTCAGATCAAATCTCCGCTTATTGTCAAAATAATAAAAATAGCAACAAATTACCATTATAGCCAATTAAAGCTTCGGACACCAATTTCTCGGCCACAGTCTTGTAAGCCAGTTCCTGGGAGGTATTGTGAAGGACGCCATCCAGTCTAAAGGACCAGTCGGTCTGCCTGTTATTCACAACTCCTTTCCTGGCATCTTTTTTGATGTATATATCTATGGTCTGAAACCCAAAAAGAGATGAAGATAACTTCAATAGCCACGAAGAGTTTCAGCAGTTATTGTCTGAAAAAAGCCGCCCACTGAAGACCTGAAGATAAGCAGAGAACGGAGCGCAAGTAATAGTATTGTTTTACTGACCTGGATGGTATTTGCTGGTAATAGATATTCTAAAAAAAGGAAACGTGGCTAAGCTCATCTGTTTACCTTTCAGTGACGTGTCTGATTTTGTGTCCCAGGGAAATTATGAGTTAAGCAAGAGAGGGTGAAGGGAGGAACTTGCATAAGGGGGGATAGAAATAGACTGTACCACAGGGAGACCTCTTAGGTTGGAATTGTGGTTACCACTGGGCGTCCCTCAAGGATCAGTCGGGGTCCCAGTCCTTTTGAGGATTTTCTCTAGTGACTGTATCACAAGAAGTACGTTTTCCATAGTCACACTTGCCGATACAAAACCACGAGCCACTGGCAGCGCAGAGGAGAACAGCAAGCGGGAACACATGAATCAACATGCACCAAAACGTTATGCATGGCCTTAAGGAACGGAAGAATTCTGCGTTTCTGTGGGCAAAACTGAAATCAAATTCCAAACCTTTCACACTTGCAATCTCTTCCTCTCTCTCTACCTTGTTGTCTGGCCCAAACTTGATCATATCTTGAGCAAAATCAGCTGTTGGCTTGACTCGCACAAACGTATGGACTCTCTTTTCTACTGCATCCATTCTCACTAGAGAGGGAAAAAAAGGAAAAATCACCAATGTTGCGTTCCCTAAAATGAAATGTAATGTTATTTGCCACAAAAAGGCAAGCTACCGAGTAGTCAAGTTTAAAAAGAAAGCGCTGACAAACGTTCAGCTGCAGTTTCTATTCTTTATTAAAAGCAACTGTGGGCAAACAGTTGCTGAAAATTCTTTCCAGCATTGTTCTGCTCAGAAAACTGAGCATGGAAAAAGAGAAGGGTCTTACTGATCAGGATTTCCTCTTGTGTACCAGGCACGTTAGTGTTTGACAACACAAGCTTTCCTCCCTCTTAGCCTTGCAAAGCAAAATAATCGCAGGAATATGAGACAGATTTTCTTTTGTCTAGTGTTTTCTCTGTGTGAAGGCACACACAGCCTCCTGTTTTTAACGTCAGTTCATCCAGAACTGCGTTTCAAGCCTCTGAGGCTTTGAGTGAGACGTGTTATAGGTGAAACCAAGCCCAAAGGAGCTCAACAGCACTGCGAAGGGCCGTGCGGCCCATTGGTATGCCAACATTTCCAACGCTCTGAGCAGCAATTACCTCGTTTACAGTCTGTATTGAACACACATTTCTCATATCTTTGTAACCCTTTCTTTGTACTGACATGCAAAAATATGTTAAAGTTCCTAATGAAGACCTGATCTTAAAGTTTCCGGAAGAAAAAAAAGTCATGTGCCTGACAACTCCTGGTGAAATTCTTGAGTTGTTCTTCCCATCAATGCGAATTCAGTAAGCGGCTGTCAATATCCAGCACGGCCAGAGGATCTGCTGACTAAAATACACCGGAGGAGGGCTCAGGGGATACAGCCAGCTGCTAAAGCCCCACCTGAGAGACACGCACTGGGTATTTTTAAATCCCTGGAACGAGCAGATCCTGTGTTTTCTCTTGACTGTTTCCCACAGACAGCCTGTGCTCAGTAGAATCATAGAATCATAGAATCATTGAGGTTGGAAAAGACCTCTAAGATCATCGAGTCCAACCGTCGACCCAACACCACCATGTCCACTAAACCATGTCCCGAAGTGCCTCATCTACACGTCTTTTAAATACCTCCAGGGATGGGGACTCAACCCCTTCCCTGGGCAGCCTGGTCCAATGTTTAACCACTCTTTCAGTAAAGACATTTTTCCTCACGTCCAATCTAAACCTCCCCTGGCGCAACTTGAGGCCGTTTCCTCTCGTCCTGTCGCTTGTTACTTGGGAGAAGAGACCGACCCCCACCTCGCTACAACCTCCTTTCAGGTGGTTGTAGAGAGCGATGAGGTCTCCCCTCAGCCTCCTCTTCTCCAGGCTAAACAACCCCAGTTCCCTCAGCCGCTCCTCATCAGACTTGTTCTCCAGACCCCTCACCAGCCTCGTTGCCCTTCTCTGGAAGTAGTTGTGTAATATCTAGCAACAACTTCTAGCTTCAGACAAAATCTTTCGTGTTTCTTGTGTATTAAGTATTTTTATTTGTGATCTCTCCGTCGCCTCATCTGCTGTGACTGCTCTAAAAAGAAACGTAGAGATGCGAGCTGAACCGAGACTTCTCTTTATTTAAAATAGAGGTGAGCATTTGAATGACTACCTGGTAAAGGTCCTGCAGGTGCCGTGTCCTTTTCCTAGACTACCCCAGCGATGCCAACACAACGCCGGCTGTAGAATCCAGAATGGTGCTAGGTTACCGTGACCATCACCCCTTCGGTATCGGAGACAGTCTTCACATAAACAGTCTGTGAAAAAGCACGGTGATAAAGAAGTGCACAGACATCACCATAAGGATCGCTTATGCTTGTGCTTATGCAATTTCGGCACAGAAAGCTGCCAAAATATTTGCCAGCGCTGCAGAAGTAAAGGTAGGAGCAGCACAGGTACAAGCGAAATGGAAACAAGACACGGAGCTTTAAAGCTGGTAACCAGCGTGGAAATGCTCCTCATCTGGTTATCGGGATGGCTGGAGATCACAAAACTCTGCTACACAAATACAACCCAGTGCTGGAGGGGCATGTGCTTTGTTTAGAATCACAGAATGATTTGGGTTGGAAAAGACCCTTAAGATCATCGAGTCCAACCATTAACCTAATTTCTGCAAAGCTGCAGCAAGAAGCACAGCAGGAAAAAGAAGGAAGGGAAAATTTTAGGCAAAAACTCTTAATACGAATCAGAGAGAGACAGAACAAATTCAGAACAGGTGGAATTTTCCTCACTGCAACAATGCCCATTGTTCGGTGTTAGGACAAAAGCAATTCCTCCTGGGAGTATTTACTGACATCAGAAGATGGGAAGGGAACAGGGAAACACCTCTCTGGCAGACTCCTAACCAACAGCGCAGAGACCAAAAGCTCTCCAGCTCATTAGCAATACCCCAAGCATCCAACCAATCTGATTATTAATTGGGTTTTTTTGTCTGCAGTGGAATTTCTATGGAGGCACTACGAAGAAAACTACATGTTTATCGGTCAGCTAGCCAAAAATGTTTCTGGCTGTTTCAGCACTAAATCCTCCTCCCTCGGTTCAAACAATAAATGTTAAAAGGACAAGAGCGAGACTTGCCGTCACCCTCGCTCATCATTCAGCCCCTGTAGTGTAAACCAAGCCAGCAAAGCAAATCACAATTCCCAACTCGGGCCGTTGGTTTTGAAGCTCTTTATGACAAACCCAAGTTCCTTGGTCCCTCCTCATACAGCAGCTGAAGCCAGCAGGACTCCCCCATTAGTTAGTCTCAAGATTAACGGACTGTTTAAGCTTGGAATTAATGGAAACACGGTTATCTCTGTAATGGAGGCAGATGCCAACGTGCCCACACAAAGATTTGTGCCAAAGGGAAATTTTAGATGGGGATTTTGGGGCTGATTGGCAAAGAAACTTGGACCCAGAGCAGTGAAGTGTGGTTGTCGGTTCTGCCTGAGAGACCTGAGCTTATCCACCATGGACAGACAAAAGCTTGGGCCAAATTATTGAATAGAACCCTAGAACGGTTTGGGTGGGAAGGGACCTCTAAAGGCCATCTAGTCCAACCCCCCTGCCCTGGGCAGGGACATCTTCCACTAGACCAGGTTGCTCAGAGCCCCGTCCAACCTGACCTGGAATGTTTCCAGGGATGGGGCATCCACCACCTCTCTGGGCAACCTGTGTCAGTGCTTCACCACCCTCAGCGTAAAACATTTCTTCCTTATCTCTAGCCTGAACCTCCCCTCTTTTAGTTTAAAGCCATTCCCCCTTGCCCTAAACACAAGAGGCAAACTGGGGAGGCAAAGCTCCTTTGGGGAGGTGACCACGAGGCAGCCCCTAGAATTCAAACTCCAGTGATGCTTTAAGAGTTGAATCCACCCGGTTGGACACCAAAAGTTCTGCCCCAGCACCTCAGGCCATCCACACGCCCAGGGCACAATCCTCAGCTGGGCCACCTCCGCCCCAAGGAGAACGGGGGAGAGAACAGCCCCAAATTACCTTCTGCCTTCCCAGCTGAGCGCAAAGCAACCAGAGAGTGCGGGACGTGAGGCGGCTGGTGACACGGGTGCACCGATAACGGGGGCCTAGGAGAGATGAGAGAAGAGGTGGGATGAGGGCATGAGGGTGGCCGGGACAACAGGGAACACGGGGAGTGCTGTGGACAGCCTTGCCCACAGCCCCCCTTGCCTGGGGACAAGGGCAAAGGAGGGTGATCTGAGAGGGGGCTGGGGTGGAGGGGGGCAGCGGGGACAGGGCAAGGATCATCCGTGTTTTAGCAGACCTTGGCGGGGTGGAGGCGGGGGGGGGAAGAGGGCCGGGGGGGGAA